GGCCATCCCCTCCGCGGTGGCTGGGAGGAGAGCTGTGCCTGCCTTACCCCAGAGAAAGCATAGCAAGCAGGGGTCACCACCCCCTAGTGAAAAATAAAAAGGTTTACTGTAGGTATATCAGAATCTTGCACATAGCATTTGGGACTTGAGAATATAATATATGGGAACCAGCTATAGCCTGGTGCACATCTTGGGTAATCCCTTTGACTTCAGTTGGGTTGAATGCTAGATACAACAAGATCAAATGTGGCCTTTTAGATTCATAATAATGGTGTTTAAAAAAAATAACGGGGAGAGGAAGGTAAGGTGACCAACGAACATATCCTGAAGATACAGGTTTGAAATTTTTTAGGAGTTCAAGGGAAGAAACATATACTGCTATAATCAGAGTATAATAAGCAGATCATGTCTGAGAAGAAAAAAACCCCACATTTTAAAATTCATTTTCCCACTCCCCTGTCCCCCAAATGAAACAGCTACACTGCAGATTTTTTTCTGTGAGAATTCAATATGGGATTCTGGGTACAACAGAATCTTTCATGTTTTAAAAAGAATCTTCAAAGCTTTCTCTTCTGCTGCAGGATCAGAGCTTTACGCCTTGAAGAAAAGGTGAAAAGAGTTGAGATGTCTTGCAGACTAAAATCTTTTTGAAAAACAACTTCAGTGTTATATCTGTATCAATTATTTGACTACAAAAATAGAAAGTAATATCTCCTTTTAATGAACATTTCTTTATAGGTATCTCTCTATCTATCAGTAAACACTCCTCCCAAAAGAGTGCTTTTAATTTCTCAGTGTTTGTTTTATATAAAAATACATTTTTGGCTCCCTGTATTCCATTCCTTTAACTGGTTGGCAATTTAGAGGTATGCAAGTCATTTCTTCTCACCCCTTTTTCCTCAGGCTGATCCTGCTGGGATACACAGGAAGCCAAGTCTGAGATTTAAAAAAACAAATTAAAAAAAAACAACCTCAAAACACTTTTCATTATCTTCTGGCTGACAATAGAGAAACTGAGTTGAAGCAACTAAAAGTGCATGTATTTAAAAGTAATGTTGTTAGTGGGTTTTTTCCTACACTCGGTATTGAATGTTTAGAGATGGCTTTTCAGAATGAATGTTCATCCTGTGAATGAGACCGTGTTTTCATTGCAATCAGAAATTTTAGCTATTGCTTGCTAAAAAAAAAAAAATGTAAATTCACTTTTGTCAAAATGCTATTTTTTTGGAAAAAAAATTGCCCACAGAAATAATTGGGGATGAAGGGGTTAAATTTGATTGATTGATTGATTTACTTATTTATTTATTTTGCAAACAATTGCCAAACAAAAAAATTAGTGAGCTCTAGTTTTGTCCTTTGTGAAGACAGAGGACACTGCTAACGTGATTAATATTAAAGCTGACCTATTCTAATAATAGCTCCATCTGGAAGGTGAAACTAGCTATCTGTTTCAAGGTTGGTTAATTTTTGGCCTACCAACCCTGATATTAAACTTTTCCATATATTTGAGTAGAGATTTGAAAAGAGCCTAAAGAATCTTCTTGAAAATGCTAAAATCATTAGCTGAAAACAGGTAGGCTGTGAGGTGCACAAGCTATATTTGTTAGATCATCTGAACCTCTTACACACGTTTTTGTTTTTTTGTTTTAAACAAAGACCTCACAGCCTATGGTTATATAGTGGATTAGTAATAACAGCTGTGGGGTAACAAAGGATTAAGATTGTCCTAGTTGATGACAGCATCAGCAATGAAATGCATGAGGTATGACTTCTTTCATTGTCAGAAAGCTCCAAAGACTTACAGGATTATATGCATATACAGGCAGTCCCCGGGTTACGTACAAGATAGGGACTGTAGGTTTGTTCTTAAGTTGAATCTGTATGTAAGTTGGAACTGGCGTCCAGATTCAGCCGCTGCTGAAACTGACCGCCAGTTCTGACTTACATA